CAATATAACAAAGAGTGAAAAATTGAAGGGGGTCTGAATACTTTCCGTACCCACTGTATATATATAAATAAATAAATCACACTTGGTTTAGTTAAAAACTTGGTTTAGTTATCTAAAAAGTGTTCCCCAAAATACAGATTAAAAATTATTTTTGTAGTGTTTACATAGCATAATAAGTGACAATATATGAACATGATGTTAAATGGAATGTTTAAAATGTTATGATTAAAAACATGCTGACCTGTACAAATACACACACACACACACACACACACACACACACACACACAGGACACTAGGGATTTGTCGGGCCGTTGACTCCAGACACACCCTCACTCTCTCCTCCATTACAGGTAGTTCATTAACACACTCTTTTCATTCCCTAGTGAAGCACTGTGTGTATGTGTGTTGTCATGTGTGAACAATAGAAGTACATCCCCATTAAAGATTCATTACAGAGCACATAAAATTAAGAATACTTTTAACCCATGTTTCTCTTTTTTTGCCGGGCATAAACACAAATAAAATGAAAAACAAAACAAAACAAATAAATAAATATTAAACAGATATTTTTGAGTCTGTCTTTTTGCATTTTGAGGGAGCAACATTAAAAGTGCACAACCCGTAACAATGATTAAAAAAACGTAACTGAGTTAGGTTCACAATGTCAAGACTTACAGAACAAAAGGCAGCATAATAACCTGTTCAAACACACACACACACACGTGTGACTGTTACCTTGATATCCAGAGACGATCTGCACCACGTCATCATACACCATCAGCGTAGCAGCCCTCTCAGGAAGCAGATCCAGACTGAGAGATGAAAAGACTTGAAAACACACAAACAAACTGATAATTAGGAAGATGAATCACAACCAGGCCTGCACGCTCAGAATCCACAACATCTCAATACATCTCCACTGAAAATGCTTCATTTATTATTGCTATTAATCTGCACAGGGATAAAGAGTATGATCTTCTGTCCACTCCACAAAGTATTACTAAACAATCTCAGTACCCTGAAACATCTGCGCGATTGTGCTGTGTTTAGGTATTTAGGCGCATTTTCTTTCGTCTGCAGCTAGTTAGTAGGTTAATCTCATTAGATGTAATGGAACATTCTATTTATTTCTAACAGCTTTCAGCATTCCTGCTCCACTCTAGTTTTCATTTCCTATCCCAGATCCTCTATCCTCAGAATGACCCAAAGGATGTGTCATTCTCCAAGAGTTACAGTAGAAGTAATCCATCCCATTAATACAATCATCAAAGCAAAGAAATAAGGCTTTAAGACACGCTGAAAAAAAGCAAAAAAAAAAGCTGACTTTTCAGCATTTACAGAATCTGTTTAGTTGAACAGAAAAAAGTGAGATGCCACATAAAATTTACAAACATCCATGTTTTTACTATTTATATTTTTTTATGTAATTAAAAAAAAACACTAGTTTACTTATAGTTGTAATAAAAAAAAAACTAAAAACAATTGTTTTAAATGCTACTAGTGAATTCAGGCATTGCAACATTATAATGTACAGCATGAAAAATGGATATTGATTTTGAGATTTGCTAAAGACATGTAACAACACTCCAAAGAGAAAGGGAAAATTGAAATCGCATCATATGACCCCTTTAAATTCAGTTTTTAAAATCAACTTTACGTGAGTGTTAGATGACAGGAAAGGTCATCTAAATGTAAAACAGAGCTAATGAGCATGTAGAATTAACGATCCAATATGAGGTCATTACCAGGAAGCCTGCTTGGTCGCCATGGAATAGAGTTGGGTACGTAGCCACGCTTGGTTGCCGTCACTACAAGAAGGTCGCCAAGGCGATAGGGGAACCTGATAAAGGCGTTGCCATCGGCACCAGAGATATCCGAGGCAACAGGGGTGTGGTTAGTGAAGATCTCCACGGTGACCCCAGCGAGAGGCTGATGAGTGCTAGCATCACTCAGGTGAACCTTCAGCGCCACTTCTGTAGAAACAAAGAAAAACGTCAGTATGACAGAGTCACATTAGTTGTGTCCCAAATGACATACTCTACACTCTATGTATGATTTTTATAAGGTTATTTTGTCTTTTTTTTATTTTATTTTTTATCTTGAACTGCATAAATATTGAAACATAACTTAAATAATTATTGAAAAATAATTTATGTATTAACATAAGCCATTTATTGGCATACAAAAATCATTTAATTTCTATAGCTGAGCCATTCTGTAGTCATTTAAGATCAGCGACTATTTTAATTGAGCCATAAATAAATGTATCTATGAAAAATGTCACGTTCTGCAAATACACAAAAAGAGGAAATTGTGAAGCACTGAATTATTTAAATGAATTAAAAACCTTTTGTTTCGGCTTACAATTAATTGAGGATATGCTGTATGTAAGACAAGAAGCAATTAGTGCACATATGAGCCAGGCAGAAACGACCATCAAGAACAGCCAATAAAAATGAGTAATTGCATTACATGTGACCCTCTTTAATTATATAAAGTGCACCCAAATGTTGACGTTGAAAAATTTTCTTCAGGTTTCCTTGACTGTTTACATAAAAATCCTCAAAGAGCACTTAAGGAAAAGAACCAATCAACACGGCCAATGGAAACAACTGCTGAAAACAATGGGCTGCTTTTCCTTCCTCTAGGAACCTTTGGCTTCTTTAGGAAGACACTGCAGAAACATGCTTCCTTTTCATGTAGCGATGCATTCCACTGACCTGCTCCACATGAACCAATCTTTAACATGTTTGTATCATTTAAGTCTGATTCTAAATGCTATTACTCTGCCTGTTTCACACAAAAACCTGTTTGTTTGCTTTTGCTTTGTAAAAGAAATGCAAAGTCTGACTTTTATAAAGGGAAAAACTTGACAAAATGATTTATTCAGTTTAACAAGCATATAAATGTTAATTTCCTACAATAATCACTTTACCAATAAACACTCAAACAATGAGGAAAAACTGAATGTATAAGCAAAACGAACACCAGACAGACCGAAAACAAATTGCAGACATTACCACACTTGAATTGCCAAGTGAGGACATTTATATAACACATATTTACATAAATGTACAAATTTCAGTGTCAAAAAGATTTCTAAAGACCTTCAGGAGCTGTTTATTAATGCATTTTAATTCAATCCACACAATTGGCAAACAGATCGTAGCACTTACTAGAGTTAGTATAAAAACACAGCATTACCTACACGTGTACGTTTGAAAGGCACCAGAAAGCCAAAGGAAAACAGTCCAAAACACTGACGCACATGCACACACACACACAAGTTTAAATGCTGTTCACATCACGTCACTTCCCTCCCCAGTGATTAATCAGTGAAAGGCTGGCAGCTGTGTGTACAGGCACTGACCCCACCTAAAGAGCACAAACTGTATGCAAACCCTGAGAACCGTCAGAGCTCGGATTAATGCATGCTAAATAAAGAATCAGGTATATTCAGCCGTTCATTATCCCAACACCACCTGACAAGGCGATCACGTCTCGACTCACCCTGAAGGAGTGTATTTTGTGATAACGACCAGCTGACTGCATGTTATCCCACTTATTACATGGCTACTTACCAAACAAGTAAACAAAGAGATGTGAAATACTGATCTGAGTAACTCTGTCTTATGTAAGATGAAAAAGAACTTGGAGTGATAAGGTTGATTATTAAACTAGAAACACAGGTCAGTCAAATACACAGTTTAGCGGTCATTAATAAAAATATTTGATGTAAAATACTGTAATTAAAACATCAAAACATATATAATGGACTGTGGTCTTTATATACTTTTGTACTAAAAATAAAAAAAAAAAAAAAGCAGCACAATCAAAGTTTTTTTTTTTGTTTTTTTTACACTGATAAGAAGAAATGTTAATTGAGAAAAGGATGATGTGACTCTGAAAACTGGAGTAATGGCTTCTGAAAATTCAGCTTTGCCATCACAGGAATAAATTACATTACAAAATATCTTAAAAGCATATATTAAATTATAATATTATTTCACAATATTACTGTTTTTACTGCATTTTAGACCAAATTGGTGTTGTCTCAGTGAACATAAGAGACTTCTTTCAAAAATATCTTGCTGACCCCAATCATTTGAATGTAGCGCATAAAATGAAAAGTCAGTCAGCTTTGTATCGTTTTTCTGACAAATATACTGCTCTCACTCTCACAGGCTGTAATTTTTGCCCTTCCAGCCCAATGAAAGCACAGCAGCAGCAGTTCACTCAGAGGACATGTGTGTCACAGTGAGGGAGTGTACTGATCGCACTCAGTGGAGAGAGATTAACAGAGCACAGACAATCCCTGCAGCACGAACAGATTTGGAAGGACATAAAACCATGGACCAATCAGGACGTCAGTCATACAGAACACTTTGCATAATTTACGCATAACACAAGAGCCTTGCTCCAATTAAATAGTCATGCTTTATACATAACACTGATCCAAGTTGGTGCAAAGAATAAAAATCATCTGAAAAGCAGTTGAATAGCAGTTAATTTGTTCACAAATGTGCATTGTTTTAAATTTCTGATTCAATTTCTAATAAAGGAATAAGCAGAATTCTGCCAAAATATTTGCTTGGTTACCTTTAGAGCTCAGTTGAATTTGTTAAATCATTGGATATCCTTGTAAGCCTTTCTGAAACCTTAGGAGAAGCCTTCAAACACAAAACATGGTATGTTTAGTCAGTGACTGACTGGACAGAAGGCAGTTGCTTTAGGTTTAGTCAACAGGTACTTAAATGTGCATTTTTCTTTATTTCATGTTTGCATGGTCACTACATTATATTCGGTCAAGCATAATTCATTTATTCTGCAAACAAAAGTTTCTGATACTATCTAACACAATAAATGTGTGTAGTATTCAGCCGGTCATGTGATCTCAATAGAATATGGCAAAGTTTTCATTTTGTGTGCGTTTATCACGTTTGTGAAAATTACTATTGATTCCTTTAGGTGTGAAATTTAACTTGTATGGAGGAAAAATACTTAGTGCACTTAAATTATTTCAATAAATAATATTAATAATAAATTTGATAAATAAAAAAGCACGTACAATAAGCAGCCACCTGTGGTCTTTTTTTCAAAGCACAGGTGCAGGCAGTGTCTTCGCAGCACTCTTTGCCGTGTTTACTGTGAGCGGCTTTTGAAATGTTATCCGGCAATCTGAAGGGAACGCAGTCATCCAACACTAGGTAAATATTTGACTTGAAAAATAGCACCACCATGAATAGTAAGAATTTTCCTTTGCCTCGAGCTCTACTGGGAATTGCTGAGCCGCAGAGACAATAAAGCCGTCCAACGTCTTCACTCATCCTGCACACTTTTCTCTCTCTCTCCATCGTTTCACCCACAGTAAGCTCCATAACAGACACTCTTTTTTCCTGTTCCTGAGCCTTTCACTTCTAATGCTCCTTTTATAACATTCTTTCACCAAACAAGCACACACATGCGTTTTTTTATTTGAATGAGGAGGACATATTATAACTTATGTTTTTATTAGTGCTGCCAAACGATTAATCGCGATTAATCGCATCCAAAATAAACGTTTTTGTTTACGTAATATATGTGTGTGTACTGTGTATATTTATTATTAATATATATGAATACACACACATGCACATATATATTTAAGAGAAATGTGTCATGTTTATATACTAAATATATTTATATATAATATAAATGATATGAATATATATATATATATATGTAAATACAGGTAAATATTTTCATAAATATATACTGTATATGTGTGTATTTATATATACATAATAAATATGCACAGTACACACACATATATTATGTAAACAAAAACTTTTATTTTGGATGCGATTAATCGTGATTAATCGTTTGACATCACTAGTTTTTATATAAAGCTAATTATACAACAAATTTGGCTTATGCATTATATATAATTTTACAATTTTCTTCCAGTTATAAATATGAATATAAATTCTAAATATTTAGTAGTAGCCTCAGATATTATTATTTCAATTTGTAAATACAGTAAAAACATATGAACGATATAAATAGATTATGCATTATATATACATATGTATTATTAATACATAGAATATTTTATTAATAATACTATTATATAATTATAAACTTTACTAAATACAATTGACCATTTACTGGGATGTAAAATCTAGTTAAAATCTGGTGAAGTTAAAGATTAAATACATTCTGGAGAAATGAAAAAAAAAAAAAAAGTCTCAGAAAGGGACTTTCAGGACTGAAGGATCACAATAATGTTCAAATAAAAGACCAGCTGTTTTAACTTAAACAAGCAAACCAAAGCATTATTACATGAAGCTTGATTCAGTAAGTGTGATTCAGAATTCTGCATAAGATATTAATTCAGCGAAGATCATTTCAGCGAATAAAACAAAGACAGCTTGTGTGCATGTGAAAAGGATTTTGGTCTCAGGAAACCTCCAGTTAACTTTTAACCTATCAGAATCAATATTTGTCACTCTTTTCCAAAGGGTTATTCATTGTTTCACTGCAGGACTGTTCGAAGCACGGCTCCTTTCTCTCTGGGAATTCCCCTCTCCCTCCTCCACTGGAAATGATACACACATGCTGCGAACTGCTGACTCCCTCTCTGAATCTGACATCACTGCTTCAATTCAAGGCATGTGCAGTCGGCTCTTATGCACCGTTCATACTGACAGCAGCTGGTTGGCAGGTCACAATCTGAAAATGTGTCATAAATGAGATGTACTATAAATGTTCAAGCAACATACAATACATGGGAGTGCTGTCTGGTCAACCTTTAGCCTGACAATTCACAAAAGCTGCATCAGAGTCTCAGACTTCGTGACTGAGCGTGTGTGAGCACTGCATGTTTTTTGATAGTCCATAAAGTATTTTCTGAAAAATATCATCATTATTTTGATGCAGTGTTTTCTATCAGTAAAGGAATAGTTCATTAAAAAAACTAAATCCTGTCATCATT